CTTATAGAAATTCCAGGAGTGCTTCCTTCTGACAGGAACTTTAGAAGGTTCTAGTATTTGGAAAATCTTGAAGAATAATCTTGAAACTGTTTTGGGTAGGGGATTAGAGGGAGCAGTAAGGGTAATGATATGAGCCAAGGTATGGAGGTAGAAAAATAGAGTGGAGGCTGGGACTAAACTCTTGAGGGCCCTGAGTGGCTTCATCGGTCTGTGGTTATCAATCTGGCTCAATTGGAAACCTATTGGGTCAATTGGCTACCTATGTGGCAGGTGGGGAAAATCTGTGCCTGGTGCAATGTGGGGTAATTTTATATAACATAGATCTGTGTGTGTGGACAAAAAGGTGTTCTGTAATAAATCTAACTGAAAGTAACCTCACAGAGTGATCTGATCATAAATTCCTACTGGGCAGGTCATGGTGGGTAGTCATGCCTCAGGCCTGTAACTTCTTTAGTAAAAGGTATCTTTGCCTTAAGCAAGCCCTGTCCATTGTTTTTGTACACCTAGGTTTACACAGCCTTGAAATGCCCCCTTTTCAGACCCCTCAGAGGAGTAACCACCCTTAAGAAAGAACATAATCTTATAACTATCCTATAATCTGATCATAGAGAGTTCCCTGCCTTGCTTTCTTCCATATTCATAAACCTTTCTTACATTCCCTCCTTAATTTCAAATACATAAACAGGACTACAAACTGTCATTCTAGGAAACATTTCCCACCAGTCTGTTGAGATCTTGCTTCCAGGAGTGTCCTCTCTGGCTCAACTAAACTCTAATAAATGCTTATACATTTTTTCTACAAGTTTGGACATTCTTATCTCAACATATGACACAGTCCCTTTCTTACAGAAGCCTCTAGTTGTGGAAATACATAAAACAGATACACAACGAAACAAAGTATGTGATTAAGTCTAAAACTTAGGTCCAGATGGCAAGTCCAATGGAAGTCTGGTTTGAGCTTTCTTAGAGCTGGTGGGATGCCAGCTGGACTTTGGAATTCTTCCAAGTGTCTCTCATGCCTCTGCAGAACAAGTCTGGGGATGGCTGAAGGCAGTGTGGACAAGAGACATTTATCTAAGCAACATCTGCCCTCATGACCTTTAGCTGTCCTTATCATACATAACCCAAGGTTACTGATGGGGTGGAAGCTGGATCCTGGAAGAGAGAGCGTGGGAAACCAATTTAGCTGCAGACTGGCCCACAAGACTGCCAACTAAGGGACTGGGGGCTGAAGTGCTCGGCAGAGATATCAAGGCTGAAATTCCTTGCCCAGCTGATGTGGATCTGTGGTTGAGTGTCAATCCATGAACCAGGAGGTCAGAGTTTTATTCCTGGTCAGGGCACATGCCCGGGTTTGGGAGCGATCCCCAGTAGGGGGCGTGCAGGAGACAGTCCATGGATGATTCTCTCATCATTGATGTTTCTTTCTCCCCTTCTCCTTTCCTCTCTCTGAAATCAACAAAAATATATACATACTTAAAAAAAAAAAAAAGAAATTCCCAAGATGATAGGGGCTAAAGGAAGGCTGCAACTAGATAAGAACACAGATAGCCCAGGTTCACCCTTCGAGACAAGTTCATCTACAATCAAACAGCTGACTCTCAAGCCTGTGGTGACCATTGCTTTAGGAACCAGAGTGGGAGAACTCCGTTCCTGGAAGACAAGGATGACTTCAGCTGGGAGGGTCCAAGGAAGATAAGGATGGGTGGTTCTGGCAGTATTCGAGATAGCAGCTGTCTCAGCAGCAAGCCCTGCTATTCTTCCTCTGTAGGAACCTTGCTGGGCCCTCCACAGGAGAACTGGCTTCCAGCTCACGCCCTTGCTGAGTGTGGGAGGTCATCTACACTCAACAAGCAACACTCTCATTTCCCCGCTTCCTGCGATTCCTGTGGAGAGGCCCGGGTGGGACAGCCTTTCCTGCGATCATGAGAGAACGTGTGTCACAATCTGCCAGGGTGATGCAGAATTACATCCAAGGAGGCCATCTCTGCGGCTTGGAGGAGCTGGTGTCAGAGGAACGCAGCCTGTCACCACAGAGACCTTTTTGGCTCAACTTTGGTTTGTTGTACTTTCGGTGTTCCGTTGTGTTGCTGGTTTCATGCTCTGATTCTGGCAATAACTAGGTTTAGTGGGGGTGCCGAGTTCCGTCCTACTCTTTGATTTCAGGCAGATGTCCTGTTCGAGGAGGTTAGGGGGAGAAGGCCTCTGAGCTGGGCAGTGGGAGTTTGTTTTCATAGGAGAACCCTGAGTGCTGGGCCACAGGCTCCTGTAGGAAGGGTCATCTCTTTCTCTCTCTCTCTCTCTCTCTCTCTCTCTCTCTCTCTCTTTCTTTCTTCTTAAAAAATTTTTTTATTGATTTCAGAGAGGAAGGGAGAGGGAGAGAGAGATAGAAGCATCAATGTGGGGAATCATTGGTTGGCTGCCTCCTGCACACCTCACAGTGGGGACTGAGCCCGCAACCTGGGCATGTGCCCTGACCAGGAATCAAACCATGACCTCCTGGTTCATAGGTCCACGCTCAACCACTGAGCCACACCGGCCGGGCATCACCTCTTCATCTTTGCATTGCTGGTGACTTAGCACATCGATGACATCTAGGGCCGATACCATTGTCATTAACCTAATTATTAGTAACAGGAAAGAAGGGGAGGCCAAATATCATAGGCATGTCATTTAGACAGCTTCACCAGGAAGCTAGAACTTTACACCCCTCAGGGGTCCAACACAGGGAAAATAGACACTGCTCATTAAAGTTGGGGGGACTAGTGAAGGTGCTTGCTATCAATCATTCCTGGGGACAGAGATGGTTGGCCTGGAGGGGCGTGGTCACAGGAAAATTGGGATACTTCATTCCCTGAACAAAGAACTTCGGGCTCTTGTGCTCTTATTATGCGCTTGGTTCCTCTTGCTGCTCCTGGACTCTTGGGACTTGCTCGTCTGGGCTCTCTTGCATTCACCCCTGTGGCCCAGGGTCATGTGGACCCCACGGCCATGTGGACCCCACAATGGACTAATGGGCTGCGACTAGTCTGATGCTGTACTGGACCCAAATGCAACTGGAATGGAAACTCTGGACCCTGGCTTTGCTTCTCGCTGTACTGAAACCCCAGCTGCACCTCCTCGATGACTGGACTAAGAGAAACCCAGGGATATCATTCCACACAAATAAAAATCTCTCATCTTCCTGTGTGAGTCTCAGGACATTCTTTTTCTCGAGCTATTGTGGGAACTCCAACCCCAGCAGCACCCAGTGGGCAGGGGATACCCCGCTTCGTCATATCAGGGCCGCGCTGTTACATGAAGCAGCGCAGGATCTGATGTGGGAAGGCCGACCCACCCAGGAGAGGCCAGAAGCGCCTTTGGCCCGAGGTGCTTTGATGACATGTGGGATCCGTTTGATTTCCTGGGGCGCATATCTTGCTGTCCCAGGTTCATTCGGGTTCAATTGTTTTCGAAGCGACAGTTGTTTGGTTGACAGTTGAACTCATTAACTAGGTTATTTTCCCCCATTAACCTCAAGTTTGGTTTGCAATTTGTCTTTCGAACAAAGTATTTGTCTCTCATTTGTTTTAGTGAACAGCAAATTCGTGCCATTTAAAAATAGATTTTAGTTAATAGTTGTGCTCAATAGAGCTGAGGAAATGAATGTGGAAGGAAGGGAACAAGTGATGACTTTTAAATTTAATTTTCAGTCCTAATTAGCGTGTCAGCAATGCCTTAAGTGCTCATTAAGTTTCAAATAAGATCAAAGCAAAGCCAATTGGAAGGATCCTTCCTGGCTCCCATGTCAAACAGGAAGCCTTTGCAACCTGTCCCACCTCGCAGGTCCTCTGTTCCAGAGCCTTTGATTGTGCTTCTGTGTTTGCAGTTTACCAAGTGCTTTTCCACAGAGATTATTCCATTTGAACCTTGCAATAGTCCTATACGGGAGGCAGGTTAGGATGTGAGTTATTATTCCCACAGGTCTGCAGTCTCCAAAAACCAGGACAGGTGGGCATGGTCTTGCTTGCACACCCATATCCACAGCCACAGTTTTTTACAGTTGGGGAAACTGAGGCTCAGACAGGTTGACTGATTGCTTGAGGTTCATGGGAGGCATATAACAGAGGTCCTGTGAAAGCAAGCCCATGACTCTTGTCCCCTCCCTTGAGTAGACAGGCTTTCTGACTCTCCACCCCTCAGGCCAGTTCTTCAGGCTGCAGGATGGGGAGTACTGGGAGACACGTGAGTACTGGGGGAACAGGGGAGTACTTGGAGACTTGGAGAGTACTAGGGGATGTGGGAGCACTGGGAGACTTGGGGAGTATGAGGAGACTTGGGGAGTACAGGGAGTCATGGGGAACTTGGGGAGTTCTGGGGAGAACAGCCCTGGCTGGGACGGGCAGTGGGAAGGCAAGGCGGCAGTGGAACTTGCCTCTCTTCCAGGATTGAGTTCTAGCCCTTCTGGTTCTCAAGCTGACACTAGATTCCTGCCTTCTCCTTCTCACCTGGGAGGAGTGAGAAGTGGGCCCTCACAGGAACTAGAATGGAATTTACTCTGATGGGGAGGCTCAGCCCATTTCCTCCCCTATTATTTAAGCAGCAACTTAGCCCCATCATCATGACCCCTTCCAGACACCTAGTTAGTGAGCCGAAGGCCTCCTCTGGGGTTTGGGCCAATGCTCAGGTTGGACACTTACCTTTCAGTCAACCACCCAACTGATATTTATGGAGCCCCATTATATGCCAGACAATGGGCCAGCCACTTCACTTGCATGGCCTCCTTTCCCTCCGGCAGTCCCTGCGAAGTGGGGACTAATTCACTAGTACCATGGGAAATGAAGCTCAGAGAGGGTGGGCGACCAGTGCTCGCAGAGCCGGGCCAGCTCTGCTCAGGCTGACTCCTAGAAAGAAAAGACACAAGACTGGGCCGTGTCTAGACCCAGTTGCCCCAGTGGCCGGCAGGGAGGAAAGAGAGAGATTTTAAGTATCTGGCTACTCTGTGTGTCCATCTCAGGTTAACAGCTTCCGGAAGGCAGGAACGGAGATGTGCCCACCGTAAAGGCTCTTAGTCAAGGGAGAAGGAGGACGGGAGAGGAGAACCACTTCACCTGGGAAGTGGGACGGATGGGGTGAGCAAGAGGAAGCAAAAGAACAGCATACCCGAAAGTGAAGGTAGGGCCTGAAGGGCTGCCCTGCTCTGCCCCCGACCCTCTGCTGGAGGAGGAGGCACCTGTGCTCCTCCTGGGATGTCACTCTGCCTCCAAGCAGACCTGCACAGGCTCCACCGGTAGAGGCCTCTTCTTCAATCCCGCCCCGCTCCCCCCCCCCCCCAAGCAGACTCTGTTGCTCCCTCACGTTAAATATTCTTGCTTTTGTCTATCAGAATCGAGTAAATTCTTCAGAAAGTCTAACCTGAGTCATTCTTATCTCAAATTATGACGGACACTCACCGGAAGTGGAAAGAGGACAATAGCTGAGAGGTGGGCATTTTGCTGAGTCTTCCCTAGCACCCCACTCCACACTGACATGTGGGACCTGCACTTCTACCTTAAAGGCGCCTCTGTCTCCTGGAAGGAACTGAATGTGAGGGAGATGGGGAGAGGGCGCCCACTGGAGAGGTGAAGAGGGATTGCTTCAACCGGTTGCTCCAGGCTGGCCTCATGTGTATTATTCGTTTCTTCTGGGATTTGGTGGTTGAGGGTGGGGCGAGAGGGTCCTGTCACCATCCAAACAGATTCAGCATCAAAAGAAAACGATGGTTCCACACTCTTGCCTGGTGGGCCAGCACTCCCAGGCTCTGTGAGGACCAGGCCTCCATTACTGCACTTTCCATTGACCATGGAGACTGCAACAGCCCCTATGGTGCATCCTGACTGGGCCACCTGCTTCCGAGACCATAGGGCAGCGGTTCTCAACCTGTGGGTCGCAACCCCTTTGGCGGTCGAACGACCCTTTCACAGGGGTCGCCTAAGACCATCCTGCATATCAGATATTTACATGACGATTCATAACAGTAGCAACATTACAGTTCTGAAGTAGCAACGAAAATAATTTTATGGTTGGGTCACAACATGAGGAACTGTATTTAAAGGGCCAGAAGGTTGAGAACCACTGCCATAGGGCATCATTCACCACAAGAGGCCTTTGTGCCCAGCAGGCACTGGATTGTAAGCTCTGCTTGGCTATGACCCCAGTGCGGTCAACACGGTATCATCCATGCGATAATCGGCTCGACACGAACCAACCTATTGGCTTGTTGCATGATAAGGGCTGAGGAACAGCAGTCACCAAATAACTGTTGCTCAGGTCTGTTTGCTCAGCAGTACCTTAGGACTCAGCTCAAATGTCCTTCTCTGAGGAGCCCTCCCCGAGTCCCCTCTCCCAAACTCAGGTTCCGTGACCCTCAGGGCTTCCAAAGTGTCGGAGCTGATCTCTGTTAAGGCGCTTACTGTGTACTAGGACGACTGTGTGTCAATGTGTCTCCTTCCCACTAGATTCCAGGCTTCTTTTTTTAAAAAAATATATATTTTGTTGATTTTGTACAGAGAGGAAGGGAGACGGTTAGAGAGTTAGAAACATGGATGAGAGAGAAACATCGATCAGCACACCTCCTACTGGGGATGTGCCCATAACCAGGGTACATGCCCTTGACTGGAATCGAACCTGGGACCCTTCAGTGCGCAGGCTGACGCTCTATCCACTGAGCCAAACCGGTCAGGGCATAGGCTCCAGGCTTCTTAAGGGCAAAGGTATCTTGCTCATTTCTGTATTTCCAGCAGTTGGCATGGTGCCTGGCCTAACAGGTGCCCAGTAATTATTATAGCAATAATGAATCAACAGTTGAGTGAATACATGAATGAATGTGAACAGTAGTTAACGCTGGAGGGTTTGGAATTAGTCACAAGAAAGAGCATCCTAACTCACTAATAGAATTACAAAGGTGAGCAGGCCCAGAAATTTCTTGCCTGGAGGTGTTTAAGAAGGAGCAATAAGCCATCTGCCTGGTCTGGGCCAATCTTGGGTTTGGCCAGGCCTGGGGACATTGCTGTCGGTCTCTGACTCCCTTGGAAACGACAGATACTAAGCAAGGAAGTGAAGAGGAAGGTCAATGACTCTCCCTCTAAGAACTCCCTCTCTTCCCTCATCTGTTCCCGAGGCTGCTGGTGGCAGAACAAATGGTGAAGCGCTTAAAAAGCTTTGAGAGAGGAAATCCTGGGAGGAGTTAATAGTCACTGTGGATCATATACTTCTGAAATCCTAGGGATTGTGATAAAGTTTTAGTTATGCTTATTGTATTTGAGCCTATGACTTCTTCTTTTTTTTAAAATTTAATTTAATTTAATTTATTATTATTATTATTAGTTAAGGTATTACAAATGTGTCCTCATCCCCCCCATTCACCCCAACCTCCCCCCCACACACACACTCATGCTCCCATCCCCCTGTTGTCCATGTCCATTGGTTTGGCCTATGACTTCTTTTAAAAATATTTTTATTGATTCTTTTGAGAAAGAGGAAAGCAGAGGGAGAAAGAGAAACATCAGTGTGAGAGTGGAACATTGATTGGCTGCCTCCTGCTTGCCGCCCTACTGCTTGCCGCCCAGGCCGGGACTCGAACCAGCAGCCTTTCAGTGCAGGGGACAATGCCCGACCAACTGAGCTACACCGGCCAGGGTGAGTCTATGACTTCGTGAGGGGTTGGTATCATTATCTTTATTTTATAGAAGAGAAAACTAAATGCCAGAGAGGTTCAGTAACGTACCCAAGGTCACACAGCTTGTAGGCAGCACTAGTAGTAGAAAGCCTGGTTTTCTAACTCTAAAGCCCATGTTTTTTCCTCCAAAGCCTAGAGTCCATGGCTCCTGGACCTCTTTCTTCCATCACTGGCCCTTGCCCTCTACCTGTCCTCTTGTAACAGCCTATATAATAAAAGCCTAATATGCAAATCCACCAAAGGGCGGAACTACTGGTCGGCGGGGGGCGGGACTGGTGAGCAGGCGGCACCAAGACAGCCAAGGCAGCCAAGGCAGGTGCCAGTGGGCAGAGGGAGGGGCCAACGATTGGTGGGTGGCAGTGACCGGCTGCAGCAGAGGGGGGCAGGTCTGGACGCTCACCGGCCAGTGGCTAGTGCTGGTCGCCTCCCGCAGGTGGAGGCCACTGGCGGTGGCAGGAAGGGTGGGCAGCGATGGGAAGCGGGCCTAAGCTGTCAGCCAGACATCCCTGGAGGGCTCCCAGACTGTGAGAGGGCACAGGCCAGGCTGAGGGACACCCCCCACCCCAGTGCACTAATTTTCATACACTGGGCCTCTAATTTAGTCAGAAGTTTAAGTTCACAAAATAGCCTGTTAACTAAGTCTGGCATCTTGGCGGATAAACTCAACCCCAATGAGCCAACTGACAGGTCTGCAGTCTCCAACAACCAGGACAGGTGGGCATGATCTAGCTTGCATACCAGTATCCACGGCCACGGTTCTCTCTCCTGGATTCCATTCCCTCCATCCCAGGTCATGGCCTGGGATATTTCTCCACTGTCTCCTGTCACCAGGAAGCACAACTTTCTCTGTCTCCAAGAAAAGGAAACAAACAAACAAACAAAAATCTTCCTCTGCCTGGGCAGCGAAGTTTCCTCAGCTTCCATCACAGCTCTCTCAATCTGAGGTCATCATATCCTCTGAATTATGAAGACTAGAATTTTCCAAGTGGTTTCTGCCTCTTTTGGACACTCAGGAGAGATGACATTTTTGTGAGCCATTCTTCATTTTTCTTAACTCACAGTTTTCCTAAATGCTTTGGAGGTAGTTCAAGTCAAATGCAGTGACCTGTGTCCGCCTCTGTTTTAAGACTGAAGAGCCCTAGCTGGTTTGGCTCAGTGGGTAGAGCATTGGTGTGCAGACTGAAAGGTCCCGGGTTTAATTCCAGTCAAGGCACATGCCTGGGTTGTGGCCTCGATCCTCAGTAGGGGGCATGCAGGAGGCAGCTGATCAATGATTCTCTCTCATCATTGATGTTTCTATCTCTCTTTCACTTCCTCTCTGAAACCAATAAAAACAAAAAAGACTGAAGAGACCAAGGTAGAGAATACTGACTGGCTCTTGGGGGCCAGAGTTTGTCTGCTACTCCTCCAGTCACCCATCTGTTTATATGCTTCACCTCCCCCTGGGTGCCTGCAGGGAAACTCGATCGGCCGATTCAAGATGGAGTCCCTGGTGGTCAGGTGTTGTTTGTCTGCTTCTGACAGCAGCACTTAGCTTTTTCTTTGAAAAATCTCTGTTTTCTCATGCTAAAATCTTGCAGTTTGAGTGCAACTGATCCCACCCCTGGCTCCAGAAATGGGCACTTAACCCAAGACAGACAAAGTGACTTAATTCTGGGACTTCGGTTGAAACTCTCCCCTTGGAATTGAAGCTGCTTGGGGGGTGGGGCCGTCTTGCCATTGCTGCCTGCGAGTGGAGCCAATGTAGAAAGTCCAGCTACACGTGGCAGAGAAATCCATCCTGACCACAGCTTTTTATTTTTTAAGTATATTTTTATGGATTTCAGAGAGGAAGGGAGAGGGAGAGAGAGCTAGGAACATCAATGATGAGAGAATCATTGATTGGCTGCCTCCTGCACGCCTTCTACTGGGGATCAAGCTTGCAACCCGGGCATGTGCCCTGAACAGGAATCAAACTGTGACCTCCTGTTCCATAGGTTAACGCTCAACCACTGAGCAACACCAGCTGGGCCTGATCACATCTTAGAGTTCTCTATGCAGCCAGGCCTGACATACTCTATACTCATGCATTTTGCTCAAGCCAGGTTTATCTGGGTTTATGGGGAAAATTCTGACCAACATTGGAACTGAGGCCCATGTTCATTAAAAAAAAAAAAAAGTTGCCTCTTTCTACTAGCACCAGGGAATAAGAGTGAATTTCTCTTCCTCCTCCATCTCCTATTATACCTTGACCTTTTTTAAAAAAATTTTTTTTTACTTCCCCTTCAAAGTTGTCCTGGAGCTTGATTTAACCTGATTTTTATCAAGATCAGCATGATAGCATGTGTCCATGGTGGAGGAAGGGCAAGCTTCCAGAGGTATTGTCCTGATAGGGCAGGCGAGGTCTGAGGCCTCCAGGGACTCAGGAGCAAAGCAGTGTGCCAGCCCCAGGAGCCCTCAGTTTGGGGCGGGGCGAGGCAGGGAGCAGGCTGCTTTGAATCCCAGGAACAGCCCTAAGGAGATCCGGTGAGGAAGACTGGGTGAGGGAGGAGCAGACAGTTGTATATCCTCCTAAGAAGTTGCTTGCTCTGTACCTTCTGGTTCCTGAGACTGGGGTAACTATCTTCTTTGTCTCAAAACTCTGGAATACGTGGATGCCTTGCTCTTATCCTTCTCTCTCCAAGGCCCCACCATTCGAAGAGTCAGCTGGGGGCAATTTTACCCGTAAGAGCAAAGGGACCTGGAATTTAGCAGGTATTAGCCTCAAATCTCAAAGTCACCCTTCGGACAGGTAATGAATGCCATTAGGGATTTCTCTTCCTACCAGATATTGCTGTAATGTATCAGACTAACAGGACCCTCCTCTTCGGTGTACTGCAGACTTGCCAGCCACATCTTCTGTTTGTTCCCTCCCTCTGTCTTCCCTGGCACCTGTGCCCGTCTTGGCGTCCGGCCAGCCCAGGGCTTGAATTGCCATTGCGGGAAGCAGGACCTGTATTAATCACCTCCACAATATTCCCGCTCCCCCCCCCGTGTCCCCCGCCCGGCGGCTTCCTCTTCACTGGGAGGCTCTGTGCTTAGATGAGAGGAAGAACATGCTCACTAGCAAATGCCCAGGGGGAGGGAAGCTGAAGGGTGTTCTGTTCCAACGTAGGACTAATGAGGCCGCCATGCCTGCCAGGCTCCTGTGTCCCCTCTGAGAGCATTTTCCAATCAGGCAGGGGACCAGTGCCTTTCTAGCCTGGCCCTGGCCCAGTCCACAGGTGCTTCCCTAGGTGCCTTGACTGGGGTCCTTCTGCACTTGAACTGCTCCCCCATGGCCATCGTCCCTGTGGACTCCAGACCATTGGCGGTCCCCGGGATTACCCGTGGCTGTGCCCTTCTAGGCTGATTAGATACCCAGCACCAGCTACTTGCACGTTAGCACAGAGATACAGCGCTCTTGTTTGCTCTGCCTGGCCTGCCTGGGGTTTCCCGGCCTGGCCAATGCAGCTGGCAGTGTTGCTGTCTCAGGCTGACGCCATCTGGTTATTTCCTTTTCTACAGGCTCTGGTCACCTTGAACTAGATCAGTAGGATGGGAATCAGCAAGGTGAGTGAGGAAGAGGCTCTGAGTCCCTCTGCAGGGCATCTGGCTGAGGTGGTAGGAGGCTCATCCATCGCTAATTGACCAGCGGCTCAGAGCAACATGGTCGCCTGGACTCTGAAAGCCATCTGGATCCTGGACCCTAGGCCCTGATGTCATTAACCTAGCCCTTTAAACTCAGCTCATTCACTCATTCAAAATAGCTGTAGCATCAAGTATGTGCCTAGCGTTGTCGTAGCTGCAGGAAGAGTTATGAAAAGCTACAGTGTCGTTGGGTGTAAAATCTTACCTATGAAGAATTAACCAACAGCAGGATTAAACAAGATGTGAATGATATGAGAATGGCCCAGAGTGGTCTGATTGATTGCCAAGTGGATCAGTAGGGAAGTGCTGTGGAGATTCAGAAGTTGGCAACATGACTGGGCACTGGGGGTGTCTGGGAAGTCCAGCAGGAGTTGATGCAGGTCTGGATTTCAAGAGTCTGGACCAGGTGGGATGGCTGGGACCGAGGCAGGGAGAGCACCTCCCCACAGGATATCAGAGTTGAGGTCTGTTTAATTGGAGCCAAGGATTCTTGTCAGGGTCAGTGGAAGGTAAGGAGAGAGTATGACCCTTCTTTCTCCAACTTTGGGGAAAACCAAGAACTCAGCTATCAAAGTAACGTTTATTGCTAATGCCCTTTACACAGATTAACTTATTTAATTCCCAAAGCAATGCTATGAAATTGGCATTCTTCTTCTTCCTTGTGTTTTAATGACAAGGAACGGATGCCTCAGAGCTATGTCGGGATTTGAACCTGTGTGCCCTCAGAATACTTGTTTTTCTCACATCATGCTGCCCACACCACCCCATACATCCCTGGCCCCTTTTCTGAGGGGCCTGGTGACTCATACTCTTTCTTGGCAGACACTGTGGTTTTTGCTACTGGGTAAATGAAGTCATCTCGATGTTGCTGCTGCTGCTGCCTTTGCCATGCCCATTGTCCCCGCGTCCTTGCTCCTTACGGCTCCTGGCTGCGGGAGCAATAGTTCTGCAGACTGATGCTGCCTGTTGTGTTGGTTTTATTCCCTCTTTTTTGAAAGAACATGAACTGGGTTCCCCAGGACCTGTGCCAAGGTCATTGAAGAGATATGCTCAGTTATCTCAAAAAACTATTCCCTATATATCAAGAACCTGTGTCCTTACCTCTGCCCGAGTCCTCCGCCTTCCCGGGGCTCTTCACGCTCACAGCATCTGGGACAGACTTCACCTTTCTGCTTTGTCTGAAGCCTGGAGGCTGATCATAATCCCAAACTTGCCTTCTTGGCTTTTGGAAATGGGATGTGCTTGTTGTCAGTGTC